CCTTCCCTCTAGTCTTACAATGCTAAATAAGGGACGGCAAGCGCAGATAACCCTCGTGTAGCTTTGCGCGAAATTCAAAACAAACAAACTTATACACTCCACCATTTTAGGAAGCCTAGTCTTATTGTTTCGATTTGCCATTGCCTTGGGTTACTGATAATGTGTGGAATTCCCCGGAATCGGTATAACTCAGTCACAAGTGGTAAATTGAATGATAGTTGGGCTTCACATTTATTTTGTAATGTTTGTTTAAAACTTTAATCCATAGGAAGCAATGCTCAACTGCAAACACTTTATTTTAAAACATAGAGCACGGATGGTAGAGCTCTGTGTTGCGGAGCTGGCAAGCTGGGTTCGAATCTATGCGATACCACAAAAATATTTCCCGCGTTTTAATCTTGGATACTGCTGGTTGGCAGTAGTTCAAAATTAGGGGTGGCGACAGATAGCCATAAACACAAATTTTCAAACCCAGGAAAATGAAACCAAAACATATCATATAGGAAATTTCTCTGAATTAGTAAATATGGTGATCATTACATTAAACATCTTATAAATTCAACTGACTGTGAGCGTTTTCTCCTTCGTCCTTAGGGGTCTTAGTAGACTAATCTGTACAATCTACTATATATATATATATAAAGATCCAGGAATGTCAAACAAGTGCAGCTATAGCATGATAAAACCAGAAGATAAGAAATTCGTTGGAAATAAAAAATATAATTATGTGGTCAGTGTTTTGGCCAAATGACTTCACCGGACTCTAAGATCCGTCCCGATAAACGTCGTTTAGATAAAACGTTTATAACCCACCTGTTTACACTCCTAATTTTAAAGCAATTTTAAACATTATTTGTATTATATAGGACTCAGCTGGTTCTGCTAAAGCGTGGGTGTTTACCTGAAAAACAAAATCCACTGTGGTTCTACTTTAAGATTCTTAATTTGAAATCATCTTCTAGTCAGTTCCCTGAAGATTAAGAAACCTAGTAAGTGACGTATATTAGATCAACTACGCTAATCATGCACAAATAATGATAATAGATTCATAATTATTAGTAGTTTAAAATGAGAAAATATGTATTCCACGTAAAATATTTTCTCCAGTAAGACATTTTAGTCGAACATTCAAACTAATTTATCTCAGTTTTAAGATTTTTAAAAGTATGTTTGTACACTGCTGAATAAACTTTGCAAAGAGGGAGAAATCTATAGAGTACATGATTTCTGAAAGTAAGAACAGTAAACTTATTTTAAGTATGAATGTTTTCAAATCTGAGGTTGATGTATGAATTTCAATTACTAATAATCATATTTTATTATCGTTTCTATTTTGGTGAAATAAAATTTTAAATAATTGTAATATTATGAGAATAAAATTATTAACTGCCAGCTGTATGTATTTATGTTTATTATACTCCTGATTTTATCATAAGATGTTTGATTATTTATCGGCTTCTTGTCTGGAAAATATAAAGACTTATTACATCGTGTAATTATTATTATTTTGTTTATTTGTTATTAACCGCAAAGCTACACAATGGGCTATCTACTCTGTGTCCACCACGGAGATTCGAAACTCGGATTTTAAGATTATAAGCCCTCAAGCTTAACGTTAAAACACCAATAGATTTTATTTTGGAATTTGATATTTATGAAATAATGTTAGTAATCTTCAAG